ATGATATACCGCAAGCAAAAGGTGCAAAAAATTAGTACAACATATCCGGATTTCGACAATTAATGCCCCTCCTTGTTGATAGGAACCGAAACGATATTTGGAAGGCCATACAATTTACCTCAATTTAGGATAGACTCATGAATTTTGAAGAGTCGAATAGGATGAACGGATCATATCAACCCGAAGGCAAATATAATACAAGCCCAAACGAAAAAATATAAACAAGTCTAAATTGAAAACAACGTTCAAACCTATGATTGCGTTATTACTATAGTATATACACAATTCAATCATCCAAACATACAAACGGCAATAATTGATTAAGTTGTGATTAAGTTTTCATATTCTTAACATAAAAGAAAGAAAACAAATTATTCGACTTGCATATTGACTATAACAATGTTTCTTGAATAATTCCACATTACGACATTTTTTTTTTATTGTGAGTGGTAATTTATTCCATACCTTGGTTGCAGAATAATTAACAGATTTTTTATAAAAATTTGTATTTGGTCTTGGAACAAATAGATCATTATTAGAGACAGATCGTAAGTTGTAGTGTTGGACATCATTAATATTTAGCATTGCTAATTAATCCGGTGTTAGTCCATTTACAATTTTATATATTAGAATTGATTGTTGGTATTTTATTCTTTTTGTAAAAGATAGCCATTTTAAAGAAGAAAACATAAAATTAGATGGAACAGAAATATCACATTCAAGTATAATTCTTGCAACTCTTTTTTGAAGTTTTATGATTCTATCTGAATCTTTTTGCAATAAATTTCCCCAAACTGAACTACAAGAGTCTATATATGGTCGAATATATGGATTTTAAAATAGTTGTCTTGTGTGTATAGGCAAATATTCTTTAATTATAAACAAAAGTGATGTTTTAGATGAGATAATATTACATATACGATCAACATGATCTTCCCAGCTTAAATTTTCATCAATGTCTATTCCAAGTAATTTGAAAGAATGGACATTCTCAATACAGGTTTCGTTGATGGTAATACATAATTCTGATAGTTGTGTAAGTTTTTGTTTTGAACCCAATTTCATACACTTTGTTTTTGTGCATTAATTTTCATACTGTTATTGTTACACCAAGATTGTATAGCATTTAAATAATTTTGCAATATGCTGTTTATTTTTTCAATGTTCTTATTATGAAAATGCAATGTTGAATCATCAGCATATATGTCCATGTTGGATTGTTTAACATGAAGCTGTAAATCATTGATATAAATTAAAAATAACAGAGGACCTAAACGATTTATCAAGATTTGCGGACTCGGTAAACAACATCTCCGTAAAAATTAGGATGTGCTATCCCGTTAAAAATAAGTTTTCTACAGGTACAACCAAACTTCCAAACTAAATCTTCAATCTATGGGAGATTTTAGTAAAGGTTTTTGTCTCTTTGTCTCGTCTCTTTTGTCGTAAGTTTTAGTTTAGAGTTTCCGGTGTAACACTGAAATATCTTATTCTAGAAAAGGACAGTTATTGCTGTTAATATTTGATTTATTTAAAGTACGTTCCTTTGGGTAAATTTCAACAGTATTTAGACAATTCTTGATTATTTAATGCAAATATATCATCAAGATAACGGTAAGTGCTGTTGAGTTGATCAATTAAATGGAATTTAGACGGTTCTTTACTGAGTTTTGCAATAAACTGTGCATGATTCATAACAGTATAGAAACACGTTTGCTAGTAAAGGGGTTCAATTGGTGCCCATAGGAATACATTTTTTTATAGTCATTAAACATTTAAAATGTTTGTGGCAATATAAGTTTAAACAAATAATAAACAACAAAATAAAACATAACAGTATGTAAAAAAAACCATAAAAATCATAAGTGATAAATTTACAATATTCAATAGCCATGTTACAATGAGACCTCTGCCCTCAGTTCTAATTAATGACCTTTTAAAAAAGAAGCCAATACTTCTAACATATCTAAAGGAAGCGGGGTTATATACATAATAATTTTTGTTCATCAGGGAAATGAATGAAATGTTCATCATCTAATTGTATATCATTATATAGTTTTTTTTTGATATTTTCGTTTACCTTGCAATTGAGAATAAAATGAAATTCGTCTTCGACGACTTTGCAGGTTTTACACAGTCTTTGTTCTCGGTGAATTTTAATATAACGACCATTTTCTATTTCAAATCCATGGTCACTTATACGAAGTTTAGTAAATATATTCCTGATAGAATTACATATTACCTGTCGAAAAACTTTATTGCCGAAACGTACATAAATGTTGTCATAGAGAAAATTTAAGGCTTTAATCATCTCATCACAACCTCCAGTAAGTATATCTAACAAAAGTAAAATATGAAAAAAAACGAACTCTAAGGAAACTTCAAAACAGAGTTCCTTATCAAAAAATTAATGGCAAAATCCAAAGCTCAAACACATCAAACGAATGGTAAACAACTGTAATATTCCTGACTTGCATACATACCTTTCTCATTTGAGAAGAAGACTTTATATGAGTTCCAGCAAATAAATTTGCAATCAGATTTATCAAACGACCATTTAATTATTTAGAAAACTTTTGGTTGATATTATTGTGTGGAAGTGTAGTATAAAGAGTGGAAAAGTCAAAACTGTCAACCGAATCAAAAGAACCATCAAAAGCACGTAATTTATCCAAAACATCCAGAAAATTTGTTACACTCCAAAAATTGTTAATTCCACTATTTTCATATGTTTTATTACAAAAAATAATGATAAGTTCTATAATAGTAGTTAAGGAACTCGTTAAAAGCACCAAAAGATTAATAGTAGAACACTTACTAGAGGCCGAGATGAAACGATATGTTATGTTATTTTTTTGTGTAGTTTAAGTAAAAAATACATAGTGGTGTACATCAAATGTTCAGAGGAGGCCTTAAGCTGAGCGGTGGAAGTGACATGAATATTAACTATATCAACAATAGTCATGATATCAATAACGAAAGTTTTAGATATATGTTCCCTTGGCCCATATATAACAATACAAACATAAGCTCTTTTAAAGAGCTTTTTACCGAATATAAAAATAACATAAACATGTAACATTGAAATACACAACATGCAGACAAGATATATATAACAGCACAGGCATATTGAAATACATGCAAAGCACTACTAAAATACATATCTAAGCATGCCAAAACTGAAGCACAACTAAAATTTAAGCACAACTAAAGTTAAGCACAAATAAAAATATAGCACACATGCAATATATAACATATTAGAGCTATTTCTAAAGTATGAAAAAGCTTATATACATGCAGAACAACAGCATTTTGAACCATTCAAGGACTGTATAAGGCTCTTTAATTGATAAAAAAACTGTTTTCAGTCCTGAAATGGTCAGGTAGGCTGTTTCACAGAGTAGCAGCTGCAAATTTAAAACTTTTCTTACCAAGCTGTGTAGTTTTTACATGTGGTATATCAAGTATATTACTATATCTGAAAGAATATTTACAATCTTTTATACATTTAATAAATCATGTAAACAGACAGGTGCTAATTTATTAACTATAGTAAAAGTTTCAATTGCCATTGATTTGATTTGATTGTTGGTGTTTTAACGCCACTTTTTAGCACCGCTTCTGGGCTATTTCGTGGCGGCCAGTTTTTATTGGTGGAGGAAGCCGGAGTGCCCGGAGAAAACCTCCGACCTTCGATAGGAAAACTGACAATCCTAGTCAATTAAGATTGGAGTCGAGTGCACCCGCACGAGCGGGGTTCGAACTCACAACCTCAGTGTTGACTGGCTAGTGATTACAGTAGTAACTACTTAGACCACTCGGTCACCGAGGCCTCCCAATTGCCATTGATCTTTGTCTTTTAATATGCAGTGAAGGCATCTTAGCCTTTTCAAGCAACTGTTGATATGAGCTTGAATGGTCTTCGTACACAAACCTTAGTGCTCTTTCTTGCACTTTTTCTAATATTTTGGAATTTTTCTCGGTACAGAAATGCCATGACAAAGGACAGAAATTGAAATTGGACAAAATAAATGTATGGAAAATAGTTAGCTTACTTAGCTTGTTCAAATAAGTTTCCAAACGTTTTAAAATATTTAGTTGCTGAGATGCCTTCCTGCATATTTTACCAATATGAATATCAAAATCTAGCTGATAATCTATGTCAATGCCAAGTAATCTGACAGTTGACTCACACGAAAGATCAGCACTTTGTATACGTATACATGGATTTTTGTTATAAATCTTTTTCCCAACTGCTAAAACCTGAAATTTGTCAGGGTTAATTCTGCATTTTATTTATTTTGAACCACTCAATAAATTTGAGTGATTCAGATTCCAAAGTAGAAATCAAAACATCATAATCAGGACTACAGTAAGATAAAGTATTGTCATCTGCATAATTATGCAGAGTTCCAAGAACTAAGAAATAAGAATATATCATTGATAAAAACATTGAAAAGAAGGGAGCCCAGGATAGAACCCTGGGGAACCCCCTTATGAATGTCAGCCCAACTGCTAAGAATACTCTTAATTTTAATTTGTTGTTTCCTGTTTGTCAAATAAGATTTAAGAAGTGAAAGTCGACAAGCAGAGGCCGATAGTTTTTCTTTTCAAAACTCTACTCATTCGTAGGTTACATCTTTATTAAAATACAAACAAAGTTTGCCTTTTTAAAACAATCAGAGACATATAATACAATGTCTCTGAAACAATCATACCATTTCTTAGTAATGTGAGTCACAGCTTGGATCAACAGACTTGTCATGCTTGTGATACCTTATTAAAAGTATATGATTTTTTTTATATGTAAGATATTAAAATTCGTAATATTTCTACAATGAGAATGATTATCTACTTCCAAGCACGGACCGCAGCTCATACACTCTGCAGCAGTGGCGAAAATATACAAGTACGCTATGTTTCGGCTATTTCCGGAAAATAAAATATCCGTCATACATTCTGAACTTTACATGTTTATTGTTATTTTTAGTATAGCGCCCTTTTTGAAAATCACCAACAGCTTTCAGTTAATACGTAAGTTATTAGATTGATTTAACACAGTTAAATTCAATTTATGATAATATAACTTATGCACATCATCGATAGTAAATTGCTTTGCTCGTCACAGATTCATTGACCGAAATAGATGACCTTTGCAATAATTTGAATAAAAGATTCTTTGTTGATCAACTGACCAAAACCCATTCATCAGGCCAGGAATAACCATCAATTGGAGGATTATCCTTTATTCTGGTAAAATCCACCATTTGACATATAACGTGAGGGTACCCAAATTGCACCCACGTTTATTTATGATCCAAACAAAAGTTTCCATTGCCATTGGGCATTTTGCAGTTTATTGTCGAGCCTTCGACTTTTGTCGAAAAAGCGAGACATAGCGATCCTACATTCCGTCGGCGTCGTCGTCGTCGTTGTCGTCGGCGGCGTCCACAAATATTCACTCTGTGGTTAAAGTTTTTGAAATTTTAATAACTTTCTTAAACTATCCTGGATTTCTACCAAACTTGGACAGAAGCTTGTTTATGATCATAAGATTATATTCAAAAGTAAATTTTGTAAAAAAAAAAATTCCATTTTTTCCGTATTTTACTTATAAATGGACTTAGTTTTTCTGCCAGGAAACATTACATTCACTCTGTGGTTAAAGTTTTTGAAATTTTAATAACTTTCTTAAACTATCCTGGATTTCTACCAAACTTGGAAAGAAGCTTGTTTATGATCATAAGATAGTATCCAGAAGTAAATTTTGTAAAAAAAAAATTCCATTTTTTCCGTATTTTACTTATAAATGGACTTAGTTTTTCTGCCAGTTAACATTACATTCACTCTGTGGTTAAAGTTTTTAAAATTTTAACAACTTTCTTAAACTATCCTGGATTTGTACTACACTTGGACAGAAGCTTATTTATGATCATAAGATAGTATCTAGAAGAAAATTTTGATAAAAATATGTTCCATTTTTTCCGTATTTTACTTATAAATGGACTTAGTTTTTCTTCCAGTTAACTTTACATACAGTCTGCAGTTAAAGTTTTAAAAACATTTATTAGATTCAAAAACCATCCTGGATTTTTACCAAACTTGGACAGAAGCTACTTACAATCAAAAGATAGTATAGAGAGGAATATTTTTATTAATTTTTTTCCTCATTTTTGTTGAGCCTGCAATTAACAGCAAAAGTAGGCGAGACACTGGGTTCCGCGGAACCCTTACGAATTTTTTTGTATATATAATATATGTATCCGTTATATACTTAAATTACTATATAGTTCCACCAACACACCTTATCGCTTTTTGGAAATCTGTCCTGTTTCACCCAAGAATCTGCCCCGCTTGAACTATTGACGTCATACAACAATATTTTTTCCATAATTGGTGGCGTCAGATATTTTGTGTTATGACGTCATAATTTTACGGGAACCTTTATGGTGTCCAGTAACGGCAGACAAATAGCGATAAGGTGTATTTAAATTTTGAATCCATATTGAATCATAGCCTAGAAAAATTGGGTTTAAACTGATCTCTAAACGATCCATGATGCGGTAATGAGGAGTACACAAATTTCATCCATGCTTAACCTTTTCGGCGCCAAAACGTCATTTTTGTCGTTAACCGCTAGCACGCCAAAACGACATTTTTGTCGCTTTTTAACAGATCCCACAAACCATTAAAAACATATATAAAAAACATTATTTCATTGCCGAAACCATTATAGGTTTGAAGGAAAATAACTGACATGGTTCTGTTATACAGATGAACCCTAAAAGTCCCAAATATATATTGAATTTTTGTGGTTGAAAACAATTTTTTTTAGAGGCAAGGTGCAAATTTTTACACAAGCTATACACCAATTATAAACTTTGTATGCCTTTATTTATCAAATTAATTTAGTGAAATTAGTTCACATACATAGTTGACTGTAAAAAAAACCCAATTGTTATTTTATTTTTAAATTGTAACGTTTATTCGAATGACGTCATCAAAACTGGTGCTGTGTGTGACGTTTATGCGTATAAATTTTGCAGGTACTTGAAATTACTGGTAACGTTTTGCAGTAAAACCATTGAGTTTTTACCGATTTTCACAATGTGAAGTGTTACAGATTGCAAATCGTTTGACAATTGGTATCACAGTTTGATTTCTGTAAATATATTCAATAAAAACTGTTTGTTCAAATTTAGTAGGATACCTCGGCAGATAAAGTTGGTTGAATTCGGGAATATCTGTTTTTGAATGCACTATTTTACCCAACATATTTCTTGAAAAACTTACTCATTTGCTGTTGGTGTAAATATATGTTGACTTCATTAGTATTAAAAATACCAAAATACTAAAGTTATTAAAAATTTGGACAATGTCTTTTAAAATAATTTCTGTGAAAAGCCAAATCAAAACCTGAATTTTTTATTTATCATTCTAATACTTGAACATGGCATACACTTTTCATACTCCGCCTTAATTGTTCATGTGTCCCACTTCGTTGTCAATTCAATGTTTGAAAACATGTTCTATTTTTAGTAAAGATCGTGTTATGAATTACCTATCCTTTATTTTCTTATTTACTTTTTGTCTTTTGTCATTGTGTTAGGGTTTTTTTTTTTGTGCTTGGTCATATTTTGACAAGTAAAACTCTTTTCAAAGTTTTTTGCTATTTGTTCTAATGTTATACTGGTACACGACACCGACAGTTCAAGATTAGAAGAGGGGATCAGCGCATACAAAAATATACTGAGCTTTACCAAAGCCAGGAAGATGCCTTTGGCCAACAGGTTGTCGTTATCACATACCTTTTGTTTGTCATGTTTGTTTTTTCAATCCTTCAATGCTTAAATCTTAACATGTCGTGAACTTTCTCATTTTAATGGTTTCACATTGAATTAAATGAAGGCCAAAAAAAAAAAGAGAGGCGAAAGATACTAAAGGGATAGTCAAATTCACAAGTCGAAAACTAACTGACAATGCCAAGGCAAAACACGAAAACTGACCAAAAGACAATTAATAGTACACACACAACATAGAATACTAAAGACTGAGGAGCACGAACCCAAACAAAAACTGGGGGAGATCACATATACAAAACTATTGTTGAAGGCAGTACGACGACCCGTAGTTTATAGCCTTGTCCTGATGTCTTTGGTGGCTATAGGTGTCTCATTTGTAACCATACCCAATAGCATGACTTTCAGATCATAACGGACTCTTTCAAAATAATACTGGTGCCAAAAGAAAATTCTGAATTGTTTATTTTCACAACCAAAATTGTTTAACAGTAGCTTAAGATAACCAATATTTAAACACGGACGGCAGTGCATGATTCTATTCAAAAGTTAAGCTAATACTAGTATTGAAAATTCAAATCCAACACACAAAATTGATATACGAACTTGTTTTTATACAGAAGTTATTAACAGCATGTAGATTTTTTTCAGTCCATCTGATCCATTAAAACTATTGAACTATTGTCATCATTTTGAATCGTTTTTATTTGTTTTTTTGTTTTTGTTTTGTTAGTCATGTTAGTGGGAAAGATTAAACAAGACTCTAATTTAACTACTTCGTATGACTATATATATGAAAAAGATCAAGATATAATCAAATAGAGCTAAGGAAAAGAGATACAAGTATAAAGAATATAATATTCTTGTAATTCCGAGACCACAGTGTTGTAAGAAATGTTTCCGTTTGGCTTTAAAAATCCAAATCTCGGGGGAGCGAGGTCCTCATCGTGATCATCTATTCCATTTGTCAACGGCGGTTGTTTCCACTCATGTCAGAATTGATTTATTGTCCCAGTCGTTGTTTTTTCGGTAATATTTGAGTGTTTTTTTTGTCCAAGCGGTTGTGTTTGTTTATATCCGACTGCTATATTTTATTTTGGGAAATGAATGCTGATAGCAAATTTTAGTAGTCTCTGATAATTTTTTCACAGACTATCATACTTTATCTTTTAGTGTTTGAAATATTGTATAATGTCCGACTATCTTTTAAGAATAAGTTGACCTCTATAAATCTTTGTTTTATTGTGTGTGTCCTGGAGTTAAAGTCTCATTTACATGATTTACACCGAGTCTGCAACTCTTTTTAAAATTGGAGAAGGGTTTTTAAAGTAACCAGTTTGTGGTTATGTTTGTGCATGTATCAAATCAAGTTCAAAATCTTAAAGAATCAACCACAGTCAAAAGGAAAGTATGTCGTCCGTAATTATGATTGGGGAAAACTTTTGGTACCAACATTTACCTCTTTTTATTTCATACTTCAAACTAACCATGTACTAGTTTTAAAAAATAGATACTACATCATAAAGTTAGAAGCAATGAAAGAAAATATTTACATCATTTGGGGCAATATCGATTTTACCGAAATTCCTAAATGAACTCTTGCCAAAATATTGTGTCTCTACGATAAGATAGTTTCTTCTCATCATCTGCCTAAATCACACCAATGAAAAAAGATTTATATAAGATTTTTCGATGTCAATGATCGCAACAAATAGAAATAGAAAATAGTTTCATCGACAGGCCTCATTTAATGACAAAACTGATTTGAGTCGGACATGTATCTAACACACCAAAGGATTTCTTAAACCTGTACCTATAATTGTTCTTTACTGAACTTAAGTTCAAAACATTTAAATATTATCTGTAAAAATCGGCTTATTCCATAAAAGGGTCAAGACAGTTTGAACCACAGATAAACATCAAATACAAACATCAAATGTTACATAAAAAAATAAAGATATGGCGAAATTAATTGAACTTCGCATGCCTTTGACATGTAAAATATTGACTTGAATACTGAAAAAAAAAAAAAAAGAAAAAAAAAATCAGTTTAGGCGCGCTATATGAAAAAAGAAGCAAAACTGATGGTAAAAGTTTACTACAACTGGTTTAGTCAGACAATTGACAATCCTCAAAACCAAATCGGCAAATCAAAATGAAGGATAAGTCACACAATTGTAAGGTTAAAGTAAACTTATTTCAGATTATACATTATCAGAAAAAAGATAAGTTATTGTGAATATTCATGAAATATTTGTCGTTGAACGCAGTTGTCATTCGATTTATTGCTCAATCAGTTAAGACTTTGGTGGTTAAATCATTACAATGCTATATACTAGTATCCCGATTTTTGTGGTGATGTGCAAAGTGTTAAGACGGACTCTACAGCGATGGTGCTTTAAAAATAAACCAGACCGAGGCCAGCAATGAAGAAACTGAGAACACTGCTCGTCTTTTGAATCCCTCGATGATATCAAATCTTGCATGATCCTTTATATCAAAATACAGTAATTGAGATATATTTTCTTCAATATATCTTTGTTGTTTGTAATATTTATCATGTTATAAAAATCTTCATTTATTTCATTAATTTCCATTTTGTCGTGTTTTTTTTTATGGTATTCTAGAAAAAGAAATAGAAATGAAATAAAATAACTTCGATTTCCAACTCGAACATAAAAAAATCACTGAATACACGCAAGGTCCGCTACGTGTACTCAAGTTTAAAGGTTACTCCTGAGAATGTTGGAAATTTCCCCGAATGTTCTAGATGTCTAATAAATCGATTAACGAGGATAACGTGCATGTGCTTGTAGGTAATGTGTTGACGTAACGTTACATATTGTTTATAGTAACGTCATTCAAAAAGGTATGGCCACGTAACAATGTGAAAAAACAATGTCTCTGCGCTCAAAGGGTTAAATTCAAATCCCGAAAAAATTGAAGAACACTAGCAGATGTTTTGTTTTATTTCTTCAAATATTTATAACAATTATACTTTAGTCCAAGCTTTCTATTCTTTTTTTAAAGAAATAATCATGCTCATAACATATTTCATTTGCTCATTTTTAAAAGATGACTTGTTGTGGATGTCGCATGGTGACATTTCCGTAGATTTTACTTTTTCCAGTGAATACTTCATCAGTTGATATATGTACTGTGAATGTACTGTGAATGTTTTGTGAATATTTAAATATTTTCACAAAAATGTACTTATTGAAAGACGTTCATAATGTCAAATAAATACAAATTGTTTAGTCCCTAAGAATACTTGTAAGATTTTTGCTGTAACATGTATACATGTATGCTAAATAAGTGCAATTTGGGGCAGGGGCAGATCCAGGATTTTAGGTTAGGGGGCTGTAACTTCAATTTTCGCTGGAGATAGGCGAAATTTTTTGTAGAAGTAAAATTATCGAAATATTCTTCTAGAGTGGGTGCAAAGTAGATATATCTCGCTTATAATTCTGTGGAAAATTAGTGAGAAATTAAAGTTTCAAGCTAAAACTGCATAAATCCACCCCTGACAACAATCTTCAATCACCATAATTACCAAGAAATCTGCATGATCTGTGAGCTTCTATTCATTGACTATCAGAAAACGGGACTGAAGACATATAGAATAGAGACAGACCTCAATACAGAGTACACAAGCTGACCCTCCATATAAAAAAAAAATCAAGCGAAAATTATGTCAATATGGTTCCTTGGAAAACTGGTGTTACATTCATATAAGTCAATATAAGAGCATATAAAGAAATGACGTTATAAATTTCAGATTAGTAATCACGTTGATTCTGTACTGTTAAACTTACTGGTTTTTTTAAACTTTGAATGTTAAAACAGATGGAATGCGATGACATTAATTTTCATCGTCTCTACAGATACTTTATTAATATTAAGCTAAGGACAACCCTTGCTTTGCATGCATATTTTAGGGGGTGCATGCCCACCACACCCCGCCTGAGTTCGCCCCTTTGGTTACTCTATACAATTTAGGGACTGTGACATTAGTGAGATAGACCAATAAAGGTATAAGGCCCGAGACCACAGTTAATGACCTTAAGCTTGCTTTTCTTTGTCCACGAATATAGTTCCCTTTAATTAAAGTGTATTTTTTCTCTTTTCCTTTCTCATTTATTTCTTAGTTTTTATGGGGTGGAAATGAAAGAAGAGACCTGAAATAAATTTCTGGATGTTGTATTAAATTAAACTGATTTTGATATGGAAATTAAATTAAAGTGGGATTAGGCCAGGTGCAAAAAGGTAATATTTACAGTTTTCAGAACGTCTCTTGACTTGTCCATCATGTCCATAGGGGTATGCATATGGATGTGTATTTGCTAAATTTGTAAGATGTAATAGTGCAATCTTCTGAATGTTGGATATTTTTTTTGGACTACATGTACAAATGTAGAACTGTACATTACACACACAAAAGATTTGACAAAAAGACATGAAATTTTTTTAATGAGACAAAGAGTTATTAAGAACTAATAGAGAAAATTAATTGTGGTCTTGTGGTCTACGGCCAAAGTTTTCATCACAAAATTTTTTAAATGGATATTAGAGCATCTTTTTGCATATACATATGTCATTGTATGTATATACCATTTTCAGCTTTGATGAGTTCTCATTGGTCTCACGTAATTGCTAATCCTACTTCCTGTGCTGACTTATGTGAAAATGTGGATTATATACCTCAAACATTTTGTAGCTGATTATTACTAGGGAATTAGTCTGACTTTAACAGTGCTTGTTCCAAAATGGCATAAAAAGTGTTTAACATATTTAAATAGGGTAGGAAGTTGAACTAAAAAAATAGGGTACATGTAGGTAGGGTTAGCGGAAAGACATGTATTATTTTTTTTGGCCTAATTAATGGATACATATATGTATTCATGACTGGTTTCCTTAAGTCTGCATCAGTTCCAACTATAAGATTTGTTAGTCAAAATGGATAGGAAGAGACTACAGAACAAAAATGAGATTTTATTAGATGGAAATTTAGAAATTAAAAGTAGGAAAAGGAGGGTCATGTTAGTTTTTATGTTTCTCTAACAAATTGCATCATGAACATGATGTAGTGTCAAAATCAATTACATGTTGTACATGTCATCACAAAGTGGTCATCAAAGCTTGTTTTGGTAAATGCAAATATATGTTCACATTTTTTTTTTTTTTTTTTGGGATAAAACATGTAAAAACTGCATTATACCTCAATTCCTGTATCTCAGTATATTATGGTGAATTGAGGTATAATCCACCAATTAATGGTTATTCCTGACCTGTACATGACAGTAGAGCTTTTATTATTATTTTCCCCCTTAAACCTGTCCCCAAACAGTTTTATATCTTATTCCTTACCAACTATTCGGTTTGGGAAGATACACTTAAATTAGGAATCAAATAATTCAGTGATACGAACTTTACTTTTTGCCACAGAATAAAAAAGATACCACAGTCTGGCACAGAACTACCCCAAAACATATACAGACAGATTTTAGATACATGTGCAGTGCATGGAAAAAGTGAGTATTCATCACATACAGTGACATAAAGTTTGTTTCTATAAATTTATTTCATATCAAATTGCATTTTTTCAAAAACATATTTTGAAAGCATGTTATGACTTTATGACAAACCAAAGCTGTGTGGAAAGCTGAATTTGTCTAAATTTTATTTGTTTATTCGACTTTGAGTTGTTATTATATCCGGAATGAGTTACAGCAGGTGACCTAAGGCCAATCGTCATCAAAGACATCATTGAAAAATTGTATCTTTCATAACTTGATATGTATTGCATCTATTGTGTGTGACAGGAAATTTATGATATACATGTACATATAGTGCACAAATTTGAAAGTCATCTATCTATATCATCACCATGATGTTAAATAAACATTGTGATGAAATCATGCAACAGAAAATGACAATGGTTCATAACAAAATTATAATCTAAACATGCTAAACAATTTGACCTGTTGATACAATTAGTAATGCTTTTTTGTCATTTAATGTTTACGTATTTAAAGTTGTATCTCGTCTCTCTATTATTAATATACAAACAATGTATACCAGCTTTTAATTGTTTGGTATGACTATAAATTTTCACTCCTGTTCTCGTACTATGAACAACAAAATTAATTATTTTGTAAAAAATATTTCCGTTCCCCATTACCTTACAAAATTATTTTCATTTACCTGTGTACATTATTATACGCCCATTTACAGGACGTATTATGGTATACCATGTGTCTGTCCATCCGTCGTCAACATGTCGGACAATAACTCAAAAACGCTTTAACCAATCTGCATGAAACTTTGGTGACGTGAGCTCTCTTTCGTTTTTTATAAGTTTTAGATTTTAAGTTTCCAAGTTTTATTCATTAAAAAAGGGGGATTTTCCAGTTTTCGGATAATAACTCAAAAACACTTTCACTAATTTGCCAGAAACTTTGGTGAATTGTTTATATCTATTGACATGAGCTCCCTTTCGATTTTTATTAATTTTAGATTTTTTGTTTCTGAGTTATTGTGTTTTATTCATTAAAAAAAGGTTTTTTTTTTCCAGTTTTCGGACAACAACTCAAGAATGCTTTCAGCAGTTTTCATGAAAGTTTGGTGAATTGTTTCTATCTATTGACATAAGCTCCCTTTCGATTTTTATAAACTTTCGATTTTACATTTCCGATTTTATTCATAAAAAGGGGGTGATTTTCCAGTTTACGGACAATATCTTCTTTAAAGTGATTTGAGCAGTTTTCATGAAACTTTGTTGACTGGTTTATATCTATTAAGCTAACCTCCCTTAAGTTTTTCATAAATTTCTGAAATGACATTGAGAAGTTATTGAACTTTATTCTTTAAAAAAGCGACAGGTGTATCATGCGCTCATGGCGCAGCTGTTTATTCTATTTGGCGGCATTTTGTTCAAGGTTTACATCGCTATATGGCGGTATTTTGATCAAGGTTATGGTTGACTTTCTGAAATTGCTAATTATCTCACTCCTTATTTTATTGATTTTGTATTTACATTGTGTCATAGATTTATTTGTTCAGTGTATATTCACTTGTTTGTTTTCATATGTCTTTTGATTGAGTTAAGCCATTTCAATTGATATTTTATAGTGTGTCTTTCTATGTTGTGATATCACACTATTGTTTCAGGTAAGGGTGAAGGTTGGTACCTATTGAAACGTTTAAACCTGCTGCATTTGTTTGCACCTGTCCTAAGTCAGGAACCTGATGTTCAGTGGTTGTCTTTTGTTGATGTGGTTAATAAATGTTTCTCGGTTCTCGTTTTTTATATAGATTAGACTGTTGGTTTTTCTGTTTGAATGGTTTTACACTAGTAATTTTTTGGGGCCCTTTATAGCTTGCTGTTCGGTGTGAGCCAAGGCTCTGTGTTGAAGACAGTACTTTGACCTATAATGGTTTACTTTTAAAAATTGTAACTTGGATGGAGAGTTGTTTCATTGGCACTCATACCACATCTTCTTTAATATATCTATAAACAATTCAATCTGTTAATATTCTATATTAGTACCAATGCAAATTTATCATGTTTATCAAAAGTATGACTGGAAATTCAAATTAAATGACCCCATGGTCATGATGATAGATTTTTGAAAAAATGTAGTTTTATTGTCTCCACTGTAAAGAAAGTTGCAGTATGGGAGACATGGTGATGGTGATGATTATTTGTATGAAGCTTTATATTTCAGAAGGTAGATTAGAAGACCATATGATATATAATGCTTCAAACCTTGTGTTGCTAAGTTTCTGTCTGTCATAATTCCAATGGCAATGTCCTTGACCTCATTTTTATGGTTCAGTGACGTGACTGCTTGTAAAAAAAATTATAGTTTTTTTTTCTTGCCAGGCATTTATGGGTTATATAATTATAATAAACCCTTACTTCTTCAATGTTTCTTGTTTGTCTGTATGCAAGGCCCCTTCTCCCCTTTTACGATTTTCATTTAAGTTTCATTCCTCTTCCATTTCTTTCATTATTCAAGTAATTTCAGACATTATATTAACAAAATATATGCTACACCCGCAAACTTTTGTTTCAATATTTCTATTTCAAATTATCATGATCGTGTCAAAATTTTTTATTAAAAAAAAAATATAAAATACCAATACCACTTCTAAAAATTGATATATCAAAAGAATTTGTATCTATATTAAGAAATTCCCTATCTTTGGGCAATTGAATACATTTTTTTAGTAATATTATGAAAATGAAATAAAACTCATTGTCATATAATTTTTCATCAAAAATCAATAAGTAAGAAAACTTACATAAAATTGAGAATGGAAATGGGGAATATGTCAAAGAGACAACAACCCGATCAAACTGCAGAAAACAGCCGAAGACCACCTGAATAGGTCTTCAACACAGCAAGAAAATCCTGCACCCAGAGGCGGGCTTTAGCTGGCCTCTTAAATAAAAATGTGTACTAGTTCATTGAAAATGGACATCATACTAAACTCAAAAATATATAAATGAACTAAAATTAAAAAACATACAAGACTAACAAATATTAGATATCGAAATACTCCCAAAAGCAACCATATGCATTTACAAGTTAACTTAGGGAAACAAGCTTGATTTATTAACTGAAAAAAAACACAATTATCTTCCTTAATTCAAGAGCAAGAGTGATACATGATAATATGAGTTGAAATTATACAAATAATTCTTCCAATCAGAGATTTCTATTACATTTAATGTCAGAAGTACTTAAGAAGTAATGTTTTGTTTCTTAGAATTTTATGAGCTACATGTAAAAGGGATGATTTAAAAATAACACCAGTTATTAACTTGGTAATTTTTATTTTCTTTGTTCTGGTGTCATTTCTGCACTTTATCTTTAGTTTGCCTCATGCAAATTTTATGAAACTCATACATAACTCTATAGCTAAGAACCATCATATATAAAATATAACAATGTATAAAGAAAAGGAAAAAGTGAAAAATTAAAGATCAGATTTTCTTCTTTTGCATATAGCTTGAGATAGCAGCTTATTCCCAGCACATGTAAGTGCTGGTACTTTAAAACAGATCTAGACCAGCACAGTACATGAACTAAGAATAAGACAGCTTAGTAACTAAAGTTTTGTATTGAAAAATTGAAAAAGGAATAATATTAAATAGCAGCTTAAATCTTCTGCATGTGGTGAATGTTCGCAGTACTAAGGATAAAACTTCCTGCTGACTTAAACAGAATGTTATCAAAATAGAAAAAGGGACAAATAAAGAGCTATCTTCTTTTGGTGTAAGTAACCACCTTATTCCAAGCACATGTAAGTGCTAGTACTATAACACAGACCAGCTTAATACATGTACTAAAGACAGCTTATTGACGAAGAAAATAGTAAAATAGATAGATAGGGAAAAAAGTGAAATACATGTATTATAGTTTTCTTATAGCTTGACCATGTTGACAGCACATGTAAGTGATATTACTATAACACAGACCAGCATAGTACATGTACTAAGAATTAGACAGCTTGGTGACTTTAAAGTGTTTTATTGAAAAATTGAAAAAGGAAAAATATTAAAGAGAAGCTGTCTTCTTTTGCAAGCAGTCTGAGTTAGCACCTTATCCCAAGCACATATAAGTGCTAGTACTATAACACAGACCAGCACAGTACATGTACTAAGAATAAGACAGCTTAGTGACTAAAGTTTTTGTCGAGCCTGCGACTTTTGTCGCAGAAAGCTCGACATAGGGATAGTGATCCGGCGGCGACGGCGGCGTTAGCTAACTTCTTAAAAGCTTTATATTTTAGAAGGTGGAAGACCTGGATGCTTCATACTTTGTATATGGATGCCTCATGTTACGAAGTTTCCGTCAGTCGCATGTCCAATGTCCTTGACCTAATTTCATGGTTCAGTGACTACTTGAAAAAAAAGTTAACATTTTTTGTAATGTTAAATTCTCTCTTATTATAAGAAGTAGGATAACTATATTTGGTATGTGCGTACCTTGCAACGTCCTCATGCCCGTCAGACAGTTTTCACTTGACCTTGACCTCATTTCATGGATCAGTGAACAAGGTTAAGTTTTGGTGGTCAAGTCCATATCTCAGATACTATAAGCAATAGGTCAAGTATATTCGGTGTATGGAAGGACTGTAAGGTGTACATGTCCAACTGGCAGGTGTCATCTGACCTTGACCTCATTTTCATGGTTCAGTGGTTATAGTTAAGTTTTTGTGTTTTGGTCTGTTTTTCTTATACTGTATGCAATAGGTCTACTATATTTGGTGTATGGTATGATTGTAAGGTGTACATGTCTAGCTGGCAGGTGTCATTTGACCTTGACCTCATTTTCATGGTTCAGTTGTCAAAGTTAAGATTTTGAGTTTTGGTCTTTTTTTCTAATACTATATGCAATAGGTCAACTATATTTGGTGTATGGAAATATTTTATGATCTATATGTCAGTCGGGCAGGTTTTATTTGACCTTGACCTCATTTTCACAGTTCATTGCTCAGTGTTAAGTTTTTGTGTTTTGGT